GAGTGTCATTTTGTGCGTGAAAATGTAGAACAATCTGTATGGCCTAAATGAAAATAACATGCCATGTTGATTGCATTGGCCCGCCCAGGTTTAATCCGACGTCTCCGTTTGATTTTCAAATTTATTTAGTAAGTAAAAGTATATAGAAATAATTTTTTTAAATGAAAGGTTACGAGTTCAAGTACCAGTAAAAAGCATAGGTGGTGTTTAGGGATACATAATGACTAAATTAGTTTACCCCTTTCAAAATATATATATATATATATATATATATATATATATATATATATATATATATATATATATATATACCAAAAAAGTATTATAAAATATAATAAATAACAAGATAAATTATAATGTTAAGAAAGACTTGAAAGTAAAGAGAAATTTTATTTCAATAATCGTAATAAATCATCAACATTATAATACACTAGGCGAATGTCCGCGCATTGTGTAGAAGTATCTATATAGCTGAAATCTTTATAAATATATGTTTTTTTAAATATAACAATAATGTTATTGTTAAATTTGATATAATAATTCGTATACTAAATTAATATAATATATTGATTATTTTGAATTATATGATAATAAATACATTTATTAAAACTGCATAATCTCAATCTTTTGAATGACCTTTACCTGCGGGTTACTCATGAATAAAATTAAATATAATATATGGTTTAATGTTATTTATAGTTGTTCTTATTGTTAATTAATTTTTAAAATTTATTTGTTTAACGTTTTAAATTTCTATCATTCTAATTATTTAAAACATCAAACAATTTTTATTTTATTTTTTATTTTAAAGGTAACAATGTAATCATTTATATAAAGTTATTGTTAACTATTGTTATTGTAAGTTATTTTAAGCTACTTGTTGAAAATTTTTAACGATTATAGAAATATATTTAGGAAATATTTTAATTAAATTGATATTACAGTTTAGTTTTTGCATTTACCACTACAATTTATCACTTTTTACTATTCACAAAATATTCTTTGGGTTTTTAAAGTGGAACTGAAATTTATATTGATGTTGACCCTGTAATGTTATATTTAAATTAACAATTTAAGTATTTTGTCAAAACTGTTCAAAAGTTGTAGCTTTAAAGTGATAATTGTTTACATACAACAACATATTAAATATAATAAATTAAGTATAATATGTTAAAAGTTAAAGACATAACTTTATAAGTAGAAGTAAAAATATTATTTTAATATTGAAATTTAGTTTATTTATAATTACACTTTAGGTTTGATACTTATTTAACCTTATTCACCAACTTAGAAACATTATTAAAAAGACATTGCAATTTATCACTTGTAAATATTTACAAAATATTCTTTAGGTTGTTTAAATTGAACTAAAATTTATATTTAAGTTGATCATGTAAGGTTATATTTAAATTAACAATTTATGTAATTTATACAAATTGTTCAAAAAGTTGTAGCTTTAAAATTATAATGGTTTACATACAACAACATATTAGACCTAATAAATTAAGTATCTCTAAATATTATTAAAAGAGAACCTTTAATTATAAATTGAAGAAATCAAGGCCCTTGATTGCATTTAAATCCTATATTTTCCACCATTGGATTATTTGTTGACATCATCTTTGTCAACCGCTTTATTTTTGTCCACAAATTATCTAAAATATATATTACGTTTTAAATAGGAAGTCTATTAATGACAATTAAATCTCACCAAAAATAAAATGAATTAAATTAGGAATTTTATTAATGACAATTAAATCTCACCAATGTACTCTTTGTAAATAGGAAGTCTATTAATGATAATTAAAATATATACTGAACAAAGTTTTGGCCGATTTGAAAGAAACGTGCTCTTTGTAAATAGGAAGTCTATTAATGACAGTTAAAATATATACTGAACAAAGTTTTGGCCGATTTGAAAGAAACGTATGATATACGATGATGTACTCCTATTGTGTTCGACAATGTACTATTTGTAAATGTTCTACTTGTTTCTATTTCCCCCTGATGTTAACATATCTCCGTATCGTACCGCGATGAGCGAGTACATACTATGAAAGTGTTTTGATAACTAGTGTCGATACTTTATACTACGATCCTCCTTGGTACCACTATGACCGCCTGTCATATACAAGTTATGAATAATTAAGATGAATAAGACAGTCGACTGAGTAACTTTGCCTCAAATCCACAAGCAAACAAGAAACAAGAATTAAGGCGGAATCACTCACTCTAAGTCTGCAACATCTTAGCTATACACAACCCTGATGTATATGATAAGCCATCATAGCTTTTTTGAACGGATCTTTTAGTTCTCTTGAATATTGTGATCTATTTCAATATGTGAGTTATTATAATTACTTTTAAATGTTTCCCCAAGTTTTAATCTTATATAAATATAAATTAATTTTTTTAAAATAATTACTATTTCAAAAACGTACTGCTGCTCGCTGGCGACTCCGAGGTTGATTCTCCTGCGGTGATCATCAGAATTCATCCATCCGCTCCTGAGTTCCTTGTTATCGGGCAGTCCTTTTGGTAGTGTCCAGTCTCACCATAGCTATATCAGGCTTGGTTTTCTTCAACTCTGGGGACTAAGGAGATCAGTTGAGCCGGTGCCCTGCAGAAATGGACTTTGTGTCCCTTTCTGTGGTAGTTCAGACACTGCATTTCCTGGCATACTCCGGTGTGGTGATAGTTACACTTTCCACACTTCGAGAGGGTTCCAACATACCGATTGTAGGTGTTGGAGCAGCAGGCATTGTAGTGGCGTACATAGTACTCGTTTGTTGCTCTTGAGGGGGTTCCTGTGTTGTTTTTTTCTTCTTCCTCTTGTTCCCCGACTTCCGTTTATAGTCCTCTCCCTTTGATGGCTCGGGAATTAGGACTTCTACACTATCGAGGACTCCATGGTCGACGAGTCATTGAGCCAGGCGCTTGGCGCTAGCAAATGTGGCTGGGTTAGAAGACAGTACATCTCCTTGGATCGGGGCAGATAAGCCCCAAATGTACCTTTCTATCTTCTTACTCTTTGGAGTAACCATCCCGGGGCATAGTGCTGTCAGGTCGCTAAACCTTTCAGTGTAGGCCACTATGTCTGAGCCAACCATGGTATGCTCCCATAGTTCTTGTTCCAGTTTCACATTGCCGTCGGTCGTCATGTCCCGGTTCAGGAATTTTAACCCGATTCCCTTTCGAAGCTCGCGCGAAACGGATATCTGACGGGATAATCACATATAAATTACATGTGGTTCACATGTAAATCACATAAGAATTACATCTGATTCACATATAATTCACACATGATTCATATGTAAATCACATGTAATTCACATATGAATTACGTGTGATTTACATGTAACTTCGCCCCTCGGGCAGTATTCTTCCAGCATCATCTCTTTTAGGTTTTCCCAACCCATTGAGTTAGCCACTGATAGGGTCAGTGACTTAACATGGCTATTCCACCATGTTAGGGCTCTATCAGAGAAGGTGCAGGTAGCATACTTCACTTTGCTCCCTTCTGGACATGAACAAATTTCGAAGACCGAATCTGTTTTCTCGAACCATCGCATTTGAGCGATGAATCCACCATTTCCATTAAAGGAATTGGGTTTGGAATTCATGAAGTCCTTATACGAACACTCCCTTGGGTGCTTGTGAGTAGCTCCGGTGTTGGTTAAGTGGGTACCGCTACCAGATCCAAAGGTACCACTTTTGTCGAAGTGAGCTAGAGCAGTTGCCACTGCAGAGGATATTGCTGCTTGGAGAGTAGCAGTATCGAATTGTGGCAGAGGTAGTGGTGTTTGAGTTGGAGTTATCAGAGTAGTGCGTCTGTTTGATCTGCGAGGAGGCATATTTGCAAAAAGAATACAAAGATGAGATGGAACAAGTCTATGGCAGTGGAGATAAGCCGAAAGCTGAAAGACAAGGTTATCCTAGTTCTGAGTGTATCGAGTCCTGACTTCCACAAGTTTCTGGAAACAATTCATAAAAGAGTGTATACCTAATAAACTTTATGAATTAAAATTGGTTATCCTCGAATCAATATTTGTGACCTGAATAACTGTTACCAGTTACATGTAAAGAAAATAATCCTAACACATATATGAGCAGTGTTTTCACTAACACGTTAAGTTAACCAAGATTATTATTTATTAGTGTGACGTATTAAGGCATTTTGGTTACTTCGGTTGATCCTTCTTCGAAAACTTCTCTTGAACCTGCTCTTGTTCCTCCTTGACTCTTTTGTTGACCGCTATGAGGAAGTAGTTACATCTATCTGGGTTTGCCGTGCGAGAATAGGAATGTCCAAAGAATCTATGAGATTAAGGGTCATTTTATGGGGTGATCCTTACAGAGTCCTTCTATAAGTGTAAAATCTATACAAGTTGTATATAATTTAAGATTAAATAGGCATTCGAATAAGTGATCCTACTTCAAAACCACAACCAAACAAGGAACAGGTAGTGAAGCGTAGATCACAAATTCTAATTCTATAAAATCTCAATTATATAAAACCTTGGGAGTATACATAGCAAGATTATAGACCTATCCGTAAGGGTCTTTTAATTTATCACATAAGTTATTTATATAGTGCTTAAAATACTCCTATAATATTTTAATGTAATGTACTTAGTATGTTTCAAACTTGTTATCATGTTATAGTGTCATAGAATACTCCTATAGTATTCTAGCTTTCATGTTCTGATCTAAAGATCCTTTGTATAGAGTTAGCGAACCTGGATATACCAAAGTTTTATATAGAAGAAACAATTCTTCCCCTTTATGATTCGCTTTGCATTTATCCATAAAACCAAAAATGTATTGTAAGCAAGTAGTGGAGTAAAGATGCTTATCAGCAAGATAGAAGCAAAATTTATGGACATCAACATCTGTTCGCTCTTTGATTTGAAAAGCCATGCACCAACCTTTCTTTCGTATTTTCCCCAACGTCATTTTTCAAAGTCTTCTAGAGCTGCTTTGGGAAATACGACTGGATTCTATCTGAAAAGTGATGCAATCTTAATGTCCATTTTACCAACCACTTGAATGTACAAAACTAACATTCGCTTGAGATGAGCAATAAAGGGTTCATACTTTTGTTCATCCCTGAGCAACAAATTGAGCAGTAAAATCCAGTCGTACAAGTTCAAGCAAGGTTGTTCAGCAAGAGTAAACTCGCATTCTTGACCCGTAGCACCTCTAGTAACCTTGAAACGAGCGTTTGGGAAGCTATCGGTCTCAATTGGCCCTAAAACCTTCACAATTGTGATCTTTTTCACATTCTAGGTTTCATACTGAGGCTTTATGTGCTTTAAGTATTAAGAGAAGAGCAAATGATCAGCATCGTTGGTAGTTAGCAGAACGCTGACAACTTTAATGAATCTACAAAACTTGAAGGATTTCAGTGTGATTGGAAGATCCAGCTGTGAATCTTGTGTATTCTGCACTTCGAAAGATGCAACAGGATCTAACCAATTTTGGTTTGGACTGTCGACTACCTCATTCATAATTCACTCCAAAGTCTACAGTGGAAATAAAATCTTTCTACTTTCCAAAGTGACTTGAGCTTCACATTCAGCTTTTTGCTTAAGTTGTTCGGTTTCATCATCTTCTTCATCTTCATCATCTACGAGTTTTTCTTTGCCTTTTGAACCTAAAGCTTGATTATTCTTTGGTTCGTTTGTCGATTTTGGCTTTTCTTCATTTTTAGTTGAAGGCTCACCAGTTTTTGGAGGTCCCTTCGTAGATTGCCTACCCATTGTTTCGGGAGATAAAACTAGAATGATCGATTAGATCTAAACAGGTAAAAGAATAAAAACACAGAATGAAGATCAAAGTTGTGCCGAATGATTAACTAGCACAATCGTAGAAGAGCTCGATAAAGAAATGTTACAGTAAAGGTTTTGTAGGGTTTACAACTTAGAAGACTGTGGTCAAAAGCTCCCTATATCCCATGAGGAAAAACATCTCAAAGATTGCAGATTCTGATATGGATTCGAAGTCAACTAGATCACGCCCTTGTGGAAGCCCTAGAAGGCTATAGAACCATGACTTAGTGATGCGTGTTTTCTTGTTGCCGATTTCAAAAGTGATTTGCTCTTTCCCTTGTAGATAGTTTGCAATCGAATACGCCTTGGATAGATGAATCAAGGGTACTCCTAAGGTGTAAATGCAACCCTAGAAACCTTGGATCTATTTTTTACTAAGATACATGCAAATTTAATTTTCCAAGGTTCTTAACCTAACTAGCATGACATGGAGAACTTGAAACATAAACGCTGGCAGGGGAACATACCTTTCTTGTTGCTTGGATTCCTTAAGAAGTTTGTGAACCTAGCACCCTAAATGTGATGCCTCATATGTTTCACACAACACCACAAATATTGGAATAACTTCGAGAGAAGTATACTATCACTCAAAATCGGCTAGCCCTCTTGTTCTACATATAGTGCCGATTTTGGTAGCCCATGGGGTCCTTTTATAGTGGTGTCACAAGTAGGGTTACAACATGTAAACCCTAATTGACATGGCTTTTCATATTCCATGATCCATGGGTTTATAACCTCTATGGACTATCCATGGAGAACCTTATAGGTTTTAACCCAATTCAATAAACCATGGATCATTAGCCCACTATATAAGAATGGATGATATACACAATCAACCTCATATATTTGATTAGTCTCCTTTTGATCACCAAATTAATTCTAGATTAATTCTTGATCAATACAAATTAAATAATATTATTAATATATTAGAACTTATAATATATTAATAAACCATAAGTGTCCTTTCTCTCATTTAGTCTATCCAAGTGTCATGTTGCCACATAACCCAAATGCACCATGCCAACCGGGTCAAGTACATTCTAGAAATAGTTATGAACTTAGACACCTAATCCGACAGTCTCCTACTTGGATAAGTATAATAACTATAACTACAAGTATGACTTCAGGAAATGATCAACAATTGTATCTCTTTCAAAGTCTCGCGGAACTGATATGATAATGATACGCCATTTAAGATAAGTGATCATATAATCCTCTAGTCTCATGATATCAGCTGGACAAATACATGGAACAATTTCTTACTTCTTGTCCAGCAGTTTGTTTCCCATTTCCGATTTGTTTGACATAGAACTTAATCGAACACATCAATTTAGTTCTAACCGGGCCCGATACATAGGTCAAAACAAAATCATCGAGGGTCCCATATATTGCTTCTAATACAAGAAGAAATGGATAAACTTCGAGTCATATGCTTGTTCTATAACTTGTTGAATTATACACACAGGCACGTTTTATAACATTGAGTTACCAATGCGTTTACGTACAATCAATGTATAACCAACTCATAGTCAACAACTCATATCTCTAGGTTTGAAGACTTATATGATATTACCGTCTCACGATCACTCAAGATAAATTCCAAGAAGTGATACAAGTGAGCGTAGGTTGAATCCAATACTCAAAACTTATGAGCACTCATAAATGTTGTAGCAACTCTTGCTATGTCAAACACCTTAGACATCTACAAGCCAACTTCATGATAGTCTTGATTCATACCTACTTCCAACATATGACCGACTGTGGAGAATTTGAATAATATGATATACAATAACATAACTAATTTGGAAGTCAAAACATGCAAAATGAAATGATAGTAAACGATTGACAAAAGATAGCAACACTTTACTCATAAATAAACAACAACTTTTATTTATCATCAAATGTCAATTACACTCTACAATTTTCAAAAGCTATCTAATTTCTACAACTAATATCATCCTTTAGCCCTATGCACCTCACATGCTGAAGATGCTTACCCCTACTCAGTCCCTTCGTGAGGGGATCTGCTAGGTTCTCATCTGATGATACCCTCTTTTCCATGAGGAGTCCTTTTCTATTCAATGTCTGATGAAATGGTATTTTCTATCGATGTACATGGATCTTCCGTGATCCCTTGGTTCCTTAGCTAAGGCAACTGCACTTTCACTATCACATAAAATCTCAATAGGCTCCTTTATAGTTGGTTCAACTCCAAGGTCTCCAATGAAATTATTTATCCATATAGCCTCCTTTGCTACCTAGCTTGCTGCTATATACTTTGATTCGCAAGTTGAATCAGCCATTGTCTTCTGCTTGGAACTTTTCTAAGTAATTACTCCTCGTTTAAGGTAAAGACCCAGCCTGTCTGAGAGCGGAAATTATCCCTATCACTCTGGAGGCTAGCATCACTTACCCTACTACTCTCAAGTCATCACTCCTAACGAGGGTAAGGACCCAGTCCTTAGTCCTCCGCAGGTACCTGAGAATGTTCTTTACCGCAATCCAGTGAGCCTTGTCAGGGTTCCCCTGATATCTGCTGACCATGCTCAACGCAAAGGCCACATCAGGATGAGTACAAGTCATATCATACATGATCGAGCCTACAATGGAAGTATACAGTACTCAACTCATCTCAGCTATCTCAGCCTCTATACTCGGGGCTCCGAGTCTTACTCAGTCTAGCGTTACTCTGGATCGATAACTCTCCTTTCTTGGAATCGTGCATGCTGAACCTATTCAGCACCTTATCCAAGTAGGTACTCTGAATAAGTCTAATTAGTCTCTTACGCCTGTCTCTTAAAATCCTTATCCCTAGGATATAGACAGCTTCTCCATGGTCCTTCATATCGAAACACTTCCCAATCCAGGACTTCACTTCCTGTAAAGTTGGGATGTCATTTCTTATGAGTAGTATGTCATCCACATACAATACAAAAAGCTAACTATACTCCGATTAGCCTTGACATATAAACAAGATTCAGCTTACCTCCTTGAAAAGCTAAACTCTTTTACTTATTCATCGAAACAAATATTCCATTTTGCGAGGTGCTTGTTTCAATCCATAGATGGATTTCTCAAGCTTACACACTCTTTTTAGGGTACTCTGTACTGAAAAAACCCTCTGGCTGACTCATTTAAACATCCTCAGCCAACCTTCCATTAAGGAAAGCGGTTTTGATATCTATTTGCCATATTTCAAAATCATGAAATGCAACAATGGCTAACATAACCCTAATAGACTTAATCTTTGCTATTAGTGAAAAGGTCTCATCATAATCAACTCTTGGATTTTGAGAAAAGCCCTTTGCAACTAGTCGCGCCTTATAAGTGTGTACATTACCATCTATGTCAGTCTTCTTCTTGAAGATCCATTTGCACCCTGCTGTCTTACGACCTGGTACATTGTCAACCAAGTTCCAAACTTGATTGGCATACATGGATTGTATCTCGCTGTCCATAGCCTCTTTCCATTTGGCAGCCTCAAGGCCTGCCATGGCTTCTGTGTAGCTGTTAGGTTCATCCAGACTTACCAGTGTGTTATCAATGATAAGTGTATCACATTCCGTAGTAATATGGGAGCCATAGTAATGCTCATGTGCATTCCTAACTCTCGTGGAGCGTCATTAGTTAGAGGTACAGACTCATTAGTCGGATTAACGGAAGTTTCCTCCTCAGGTTGATTGCTAGGATTTGAGGTTCCTTCACCACTTGACTCTTGAATTTATTCAAGGTTAATTTGCCTCCCACTGTTTCCTTGTCATATGAACTCTCTCTCCCTCTTTCTCCCTCTCTCTCTCTCTCTCTCAAGACACCTCTCCTTGCTACGAAGAACACATTATCACTGGGTCTGTAGAAGAGGTAACCAAAGGATTTTTTTGGGTAGCCGATGAAAATACACCTATCACTTTGAGGTTCGAACTTATCGCGATTCTCGTGCCTCACAAAAGCCTCGCAACCCAAAATCTTGATGTGGTCCAAATAGGGAACATTCCCAGTCCACATCTCGTGAGGTGTTCTAGCAACCTTTTTGGTAAGGATTAGATTAAGAATATGGGCGGTAGTCTTTAAGGCATACCCCCAAAAAGAGATTGGTAGCGAAGCTCGACTCATCATGGAACGAATCATATCTAACAAGGTTCGATTATGCCTCTCATCCACACCATTAAGTTGTGGTGTTCTGTGAGGTGTCAAATGTGACATCCCCAATTTTTCATGATCAGAAATGACCGATTTGTTTATGCTTGTTTAAAAATCAGAGTAATCGTTTACAAAAAACAGTTTTGGAATTTGTTCCCAAAACAAAATATCATAAGAATTTATCAAAGCATTTCTTTAAAGAAATGTCTTTTCATTATATAACAAAATCTCGGGATGTCATGTTCTGACAGAGACCAAAAGCATAAACAATATAAAATAGACCTTAACTACTGATCTATAATCCAAAATCTCTCGTCAACTCCACCAACTTATACCCTTGTGCCATTACCTGTAATGCAAAGAAAACTGAGTGGGTCAAGCTTGGGAGCCTGGTCAACATATAGGGTTTTCAACCCACAATAATATAATTATTATATTTAATCATCAAACAATCAACCTAATTACCCATCCCCATTATCTTCCTTACTCTTAAGGGTCTACCCTAAGAGTCATCTATTCGTTCACTATGTATTAGGAACTAAGACAATAGCTGCCCGGATTCTTTATTCAGCACTAAGACAATAGCTGCCAGGATTCTTTATTTGACAATGAGACAATAGCTGCCAGGAATCTTTATTTGACACTAAGACCATAGCTATCATCCTCTATCTAACAGTACTAAATCCATAGCTACCAGTGTTCATCTATATGGTACTAAATCCATAACTACCAAGGTTCATCTATACAATACTAAATCCATAGCTACCGAGGTTTATCTTTACAGTACTAAATCC